CCCCCCCCCCCCCCCCCCCCTCGTCCCGCCGGAAGGCCTAGCTCCCATACGAACGTCTCTTATCGAGGCACTGCTGCTCCACCGTCTTGCCAGAGTGGTCACGGACTCCTACAAACATCTTCTCGGGAGATCAATAACATCGCAAAGCCATTGCGTACCACACAGAACATCATGCATACCTCACAGAATACCATCCCTGACCGATTGACTCACCCTCCCTACCGGCCTCAAGCTCGTGAACATTGGCCATGGTCGGCGTTAGCCGCGAGGTGTGCGGAGCGTGATGCCAACCGCTCTCGCGCAGGGACGCCAGCTGGTGCTGGCGCTGTTGTTGCGCCGCCGCCTCCGCCGCCCCCGCGGCCGGCACCCCGAACCCGCCACCGCCACCGTCACCGTACTCGCCGCCGCCGCCCCCATAGCCGCCGCTACCGCCGCCACCGCCGCCCCCGAAACCGCCGAACCACGATCCGGGCGCCCAATGCGATAGCCCGACGCCGCCGCCGCTGCCGCCACCACTGGCGCCGCCGCCGACTGTGGCGGTGTCCTCCGCGATGCGGTCGTAGCAGGTAATCTTTACGGAGCCGTAGAGCACGTGGGACACCACCGACCTATTTGTGTGTACGTCATGCGCCACGTTTCGCCCGGCGTCGAAGGAAGGAAGGGACGGAAAGTAGGCATCGATTGTCGAGGGTTTGGAAAAAATCGAAAGCGTAAGGTTGGGAGTTGGGAAAGAGCGAGAGCAGAGCGTTCGGGAGGAGACGGGGGGGGGGAGAGGAAGCTGGGAGAGAATGCTTCCTAAAAAAATGACAAAACAGAAGGCAGGCGGTCAAGAGCGCCACGTCGGACCAAAAAAATACAAGACGACACTGCTGCGGTTGGAGGTTGGAAGCTTGGAAGTTGTCGGTGGCTGCACCGATCACGGGCCCGCGCGCGTGTTCGTCGGCCTGAATCAAAGGGGGGGCGGAAAACAGAGACGAGGTACTTATTGCACCAGCACCGGTGGTCGTTACAATAACGGCAAGGGAGAGGTAAATTTATTAGTATCGCGTTTCTGACTTTTCGAAAATATAGACTTCTTGAAGCATGAAATCATGTAAGAAGTATACCAGCTACTGATAACCCTCAGACACAGGGGATCACGTGAGTTTCTTCGCGGTGGGGGATCGAGGGAACCTTGGTGGCCACTGGATTTGGATGAGTTCGTGCAATGGAAGTCTCTGCGGCCTCAACGGCAACGGCAAGGTGTGGTACAGAGTGCTTTTGTTTGCTTCTGTTAATAACACATCCAAGCAGGAGTACACCATGTCTGTCGACATACGTGTCTCGTGCCGCGCTGATACATTCATGCTCGCTTCTCCTCCGCCGGCCGTGACCTCAAACGTCAACCCATCACGTCTAGGGTAGGTCGAAGGACACGGACTTTATCTCCCGCCGCGTCTACGGCAACGTCTCTCCTTTCACTTCAGCCGCCGTTCCTCGGAGCGTGGTCACATTGTCAAGTCGTACCCACGAGGCAACAGAACACGTACGCACGCGTCACGTACGAGCGCGGAACGCCGCCGTGCAAGACGGAACATGCAAAGCTTGCCGGGATACTGCGCGTGAATGTCCCTAGCAGTGGGAGGGAATCATAACGCCGCAACCTCGAATCGGTTTTCAGCTGGTTGTGTCTGGGTTTGGGCGATGTTCAGAGATGAAGTAAATTATTCTCTCTTGCGGCACTACTTGGAAAGCATTAGTCTACTGAGTAAACCATTTACCCCTTCCAGAGCCAGGAGAACAAGCGTGCATTCATCAAGACTGAAGTCAACACAGCGCACGGTTGGTCCGTCCGGTGCCTGGATAATAGCTGTACCACATCAAACCACGGAGTTGACGCATTTGTGCCGCGCTGATGGTTTGGGAGATGATTGTACGGGAGGGGGGTGCACCCGAGCAATTTATTTGCGCACACATACAACAGGATTGAACTTGAAGAAGACGGCATGAGACCCCCTGTAGACGATGTGTTCGGCTTTGTAGGCACCTCACTTTCGCAAGCGTCCCACCTAAGAGAGCGAATTGGATCTACGACCACGCCGCGCAGCATTGGCACTACTGCCGTAAGTCTCTCTGTACGGAGAAATCTTCCTCCTGTCCAGCTCTCCACTCACATGTCTGGGTGGTCATGAAGCGGGATGCAAGACCCCGGCGGCAGAACGAACACTCCGATGGAGAAAGTCGCCTCTTGCGCGATGTGTAGATATCGAATCTCCCCCGAGAGGATCGACGGAGGGCTGATGTAAGGGTGGGCGTACGGCACCATGCCAAGCGCCTCGGGTGTGAGCATCGCCATTGCCTTGACCGGAACAAACAGGGGAGCGGGCCCGGGTGTGGCATATTGGACGGAATAGAGATGAACGTGAGTACTGCTGTCTGTAGATTAAGATATTCGGCAACCTCGTGTGCCGACGGTAGCGCGCTGCGTCCACCCGACGGATTAGAACGACAGCAGATCCTTAGAGCAGCATAGGCCATGCCGCCGAGCTGTCGTGCAGCCCGCACGAAAGGGGGGATGAATAGTTTTGCTTTAGGGGCTACCGAACGCACGAACAGGTGCGAGATTTGGGATCCAACCGTTGATAGTGAGGCCACGTTGACTACTGTACGCCGTCGACAGCGATCCGTAGCCGCCCCCCGGCCCCGACTGGACTGGATACCCAGTGCCCAAAATCCAGAGATCTCGGGAAAACTCATCCATGCCTCTCACCTGTTCGATGGGCTGAATATCCTCAGGCGTCATCTCCCCTCCCGGCCTTGAGTGGATCGAAGTGGCGGTTGCCCTGGCAACAGCAATCAGCTGAACTGCAGCTCGAGTTCTGTCCATCGTCAAGTATCCTGCGCCCCCCAGCGCTTCCCACGAGCCTTTCGGGGCAAACTGTTTAGCAATGTTCGATCGTTGACCAATCAGGACGACACGAAGCCACCTTCCGAGCGGTCGATCGATGCAAGGGGAGGGGAGGACCGTGCAGAGGGCGGAGGGGGAGAGCACGAATATTTTTGTGTCTAGAACACATGTCAACACCACCACGTCGTTGCTGTGTGTTCCGCTCTCCTTAGTGACGTTGCATTTGGTGATTTTTTTCTTGGAAAATTCTGGATCGTCTCTCCCTCTCGCTGCGTCGCCCCCGCCGCCTTGCTCGCGGTGGCCGTGAGAGAAGCAGGGGTAAAAGCTGTACACACTCATAGTCGTTTACCCAGGCGTCTGATCCTGATTTCGCCACGTGTGTCGGCTTTGTGCGTTGATGCGGTTAGCGGGGTATACGTACATGTGTACAATATACGTGCCGCACTCGGAACGGAAAACACCGAGCAGTGAAGCGGAACCTCAACCTCGTGAGTTGAAGTTGTTGTGCGCAACAAAACAATAGACACATCGGTGGCGCTGGGCACATGGAACATGTTATGACGTGGACGTGGGTCTGCTCAGGCGGAATACCTAACCCTAGCAGCTCTATCCTTACTTCCCCAGCGATCAAAGGCGGCGTATACTAGAGCCAACAGCAGTAGAATGTGGTCGTAGTCCATGTCGGTGATTATTGGTCTGTGTGGGTTGCGGCATGTGTGTACCAACCAACCAGTGCTGCTATTTTACGCCGTCGCTGCGGTGTGGGAGAGATTTGTGTATGGCGATCTCCTTGCACCTCGGCAAGCAGTTGCTATCTCCTTCCCCCCACCAGCACGTGGATCAGACCACGTCAGATTCCTTAATGCGCAACCATTCCTCGAAGCTCCGACTGGACTCCTGGGCGGGATCGAAAATGGGCGATCCTCCTTTTTCAAGAAACACACAACAACAACAAATAATGTTCCGAGTTCCAGTTCAAATGGTTCAAATTCTTAAAAGTCCTGCTCTGCTGTGTACAGCACTTACTTCTCTCCAGGCTCGCACTTCGACTAAAGGTTCTAGAAACTCTGTATCTACGTCGTGCGATATAGAACGCGCCTACATTACAAGTTCTCATGAAAAATAGAGTTGTTGTTGTTGTCTTCACATTAAACCGTATGTTGTTGTTGTTGACTTCACATTAAACCGTATGCCAGTTGCTAAATGCCAAAATCTAGCAAAGACTCTCGGCCCGTGGTCACGAAAGTGCTGGAGCCATCTGAGGATCTAAAGAACACGCACACGTAGCAAGAAAAAGGTGTACAAGAGCCCGAAGAGGTACTACTACACCTATATATAATCCCTGCAGCACCGTACGCGTGCCCAAAACTGAACTACACGTCCGTCTCACCGTTCGACTACAGTAACATCACCCCCTACCTGTCCCACTCTGTACCAAAACGAATGATTGCCGACTACAGCATACTTGCTGTCTGAAGTGCTGTCTGTACAAAAACACCATGGTAGGCATGGAACAAGAAGCTGGCGGGGCACAAAGCTGCTGTCTGAAGTGCTGTCAGAATGTGTCTGCGGACGTACAGTGAAAAAGAACAACCAACCAAAGCCATGATTGCAATGGACAATCACCCGAACCTCTCCCGATCGTCTGTGTTAGGCACGCAGTGAAAATATCGACAATAGCTAAGAATCGTTCCACATTGAAGGGGTCTTCCACGATCAGGCACATAACCAATGCACCCGGGTTAGCCACGCCATCTCTGACGGGTCTCTCTACAAAACCAGTGACGACGTCATCACATAGAACCAACACCGAAAATCAGGAAAAAAACGAGAAAAATTGACAACACAGATCAGATATAAATGTTTGTCCGTGCGCCACGGGTCGATGTCGCCCGCATGCTCCGGTGCCGCTGCTCCGTCCGGCGCCGCTGTAGTCAGCCCGAGCATAACGCCACTCGACCTGCTCCGTCCGTACACGCTCTCGTTGCTGTCCTTCCCAGTCGGTTCCTCGCTTTCTCCCTCGTTGCACTCAAGGTTCTTGGTCTGAAAAATAAAAATTCTCGCGCCGAAGGGGTCAACCAGCCCAGTTCAGCTCGTCGCCACCTGCTCCCTCCTCCTTTGATGGCGAAGCCAGGTTACTGAGGCAATGCAGCGCCCTCTAGCCAACCTAGGGCCGTGTACATAGTTCCCGTCCACCTTCTGACGGTGTCTGCCTCCGCGCACAAAAAATGAGATGGGCATCGCTGCCTACGCCGACGGCCAGAGGCCCGCGCATCTACATTTTTTCGCCTGACCCCATCAGTGCCGACCCAACTACACCACCACGCGCATGCCTCGCGGCGGATATGCGCAGCAGCAAGAAGGTTTCGGTCATCCCTTGAGGGTGAGTCTAGCCCTGCTCGCCAGAAAGACCCCCCCCTTCACTACAACCCATGTCTAAGCAAAAGCTTGTCGAGGAGCGAGGGGAAGAAGGGAGAACTACCGTATGTCAGTTGCTAAATGCCAAAATCTAGCGAAGACTCTCAGCCCGTGGCCACGAAAGTGCTAGAACCATCTGAGGATCTAAAGAACACACACACATATAACGAGAAAAAGGTAT